AATCAATCAATCAATCAATCAATCAATCAATCAATCAATCCCATAACTGAGTCCTCAACTCCATTTAAACACAAGATAAAAAAAAAAATATTAATATAAATATTAATTAATTCAGTTCTATCCAAATGTTACAAATAACAAGACTTCAGTTCTATCTTCCAGGCCTATGGCACTGTGGGTTTATATTTGTGTGTGTGTGTGTGTGTGTGTGTGTGTAGTATCTGCACAGTACGCCTGTGATTTTAAAGCTGAACCCCGCAGACTGAACAAACCCCCGGGCGTGAGTGTGTTTGTCTGTTTACACATGTGTCCGTATGCGGGCTCGTACCTCTCTTCTTGGAATCCTTTCTGACGCTGGGTCTGGCAGCAGGCTGGAGCTCGGCCTCTGTTGACATATTAAATCCTTATTCCTTTACCGTGCAGCTGGGTGGCTGTGACTGGCTCATCTAGAGGGGCTTTCCACTGACTCGGGAACAGTCCACCGCTGCCTCTAGCCTCGACACGGCATCTCACTCACTCCCAGCAAGGGCTGCAGGAGAACAGATAGAAGACATTTTGAATATGTTTAGCCAAATTATTACAGTATAATTGTAATATTCATGGAGCCACAGCATTGGTAAGTCTTAGAATTTACCACATCTGTCTCATGACATGACACACAAACATACCATAAAAATTCAATTAATACATACAATGACTTGAATACGCCAAATCTATAAGCATTTTTTTTTATTTCTATAGATTGATAAATTTGACAGATTTGACAGCCATATCAAATAAGTAGAAATATGCAGGGAAAAAATAAAACAAAACAAACAAAAAAGGGAAAAGAAAGAAACAGGAAATTACGTCATAGAGAAGACCCCTGCAGAGACTTGTGACTGTGTCAAGGTCCAAATGTCAGGTTGTAAAATTATTTTTATTAGTGATAATACAAGTAAGTTAATTAATTAATTAATTAATTTTTGACTTTTTTGTTATTGTGAAATATATATATATTTTTTTATTTATCTTCGACTCGCTTACAGTATTTGTCATTTTCCCCTCTATATATATATATTAGACTAAAACAAAGCATTTTAATATCACACACACATCACCTTTAAGCATATATGCAGTTATTAATAAAACTTGTAAACAAAGCTGTTACAAATCTACACAAGCAATTTTTTCTCTCTCTCAAAAACTAGCACAATATATTGTGCAGTGGGAATATGAAAATAATAATAATAATATTAATAATAACAATAACAATAAAAAAATAAAATGATAAAAACAACATAAATATTCCATTATAATAAAATATGAAAACTTTAAATATTATACGAAATTGAAATAAAATAAAATAATAAAATAAAATAAAATATTTTATTTCAGATAAGGCAATATTACTAATTTTAGTTTGGTTTAACTTGACATACTAAAACAACAAACTAACTGAAACTAAACAAACTAAAAAAAAAACTTACATAAATATTAAAATAATATAATAATATAATAAAACTATATATTTTATATTTATATATTTATATTACTGTAAAAATAACTATGTTTAAAAAAATACAAAAAATAAACATTTATTTATATTAAATGTATTTATATTTTTTAATATGAAATATATTATTCTTTCTTTTCACATTTTTCACTTTCTTGTCTTGGACTCACTGTATTTACACAACATATTAAAGCCTGGATTAAATTAAAATACAAAACTTCAGAAGGCCCTGCAGATGACAACTTGCAGAACATGTAAATGTTAATACTGTTGATGTTAATAATGTTCGACAGTGTGACATCGCTCTTCCTGAAGGAGGTTTTGGCTTGTTTTCTCAGTGTTTCCTCTCCCCGCAGCGGGAAAGAGGCAAGAGGAAGCACTAAATTGTTTCATCAGCTCTCTCTTGCTTCTCTTTCGCCTCTCACCTTGTCATCGCATGAGCAAACAGTGCTAGCTTCTTTTCCTGTGCACCTCCACTATTGCCTCCTTCGCTTCCTTCTCTGGCGGTGCCAGTCGGATGGTGGGAAGCACCTTTCATGTGTTAATTGGCCTCAGTGGCACTGTAGCATCACTGCAGGTGCCAGAGCCATCAGCAGATCAAACCTGCTCCACCTCAGCACGCTCTGCCCTACAACAGCAATCAGACTCACTGATCAGGCAGGCCGACCGAACAACATGGCATCACTTAGAAATCGATACACCACGAGATGTATCGATTTCTAAGTGATGCCATGTTGTTCGGTCGGCCTGCCTGATCAGTGAGTCTGATTGCTGTTGTAGGGCAGAGCGTGCTGAGGTGGAGCAGGTTTGATCTGCTGATGGCTCTGGCACCTGCAGTGATGCTACAGTGCCACTGAGGCCAATTAACACATGAAAGGTGCTTCCCACCATCCGACTGGCAGCGCCAGAGGAGAGGGCTAGTGAAG